AAGACTGCCACATAGGAAAGGAAAACTAAGCACACAGTGTAAGCAAGACCTAGGCATGGAAAAATGCGTGCATTATGATTCCATGATGTTAAGGGAAATAAATCAGACACACACGCTTAAATATCACATGGTTTCTTTTACATGATAAGCCCAAAGTCTAACAAAATTAAAAATCAAAATAAAAGGAGATATAAGAAACAAGGAATAGTTGTTTCACAAATGGGAAAAGAAACAATAGATAAGGAGAGGTGAGAGGGAGAGGATGTAACAAAAATGAAGGTGTGTCATGGGCATGTACCAACTCCACACAAAGACTGCAATATCTATGAACTGCAACATTTCAAAAAAGAATATGTGAAGGAAAATGGCTCCCAATACTATCCGCAGAAAAAATAAATGAGTGGTGAAGAATTTGAATCATAACTTCTGTGAACTGGCAGATAAGAGGTGTGAATCCTGACTTTAAAAATTCCATTCTTCTGGTTTTGTTGAGTGGACATGCTGTAAAGGTCTACTAAGTCCATTTCTTCAGAAGGTTGGCTCAGTTCTGTTACTTCTTTGCTGATGTTTTACCTAGGTGATCTATCTATTTGTGACAGTGGGATGTTAAATCTCCCAATACAACTTTGCTATTGCTCATTTGATTTTTCATGTCTGTTAAAATTCGCCTTATATGGTTGGGTGCTCCTAGATTTGATGCATACATATTTATGATTGTTATCTCTTCCTCTTGCAGTTTCCCCCTAACAAGTATGTAATGACCTGCTTTATCTCTTTTGATCACTCTTGGTTTGAAGTTGACATTGTCAGTAACCATGATAGTTATCCCTATTTTTTTCTAGGTTCCTGTTACTTGGAGTATTATTCTCTATCCTTCGACTTTCAGTCTATGAATTTCCTTTGGAGTTAAATGTGCTTCTTGTGTACAGTATATTGTTGAATTTTGTTTCTTGATCCATTTTACCAGTCTGCCTCTTTTGTTTGACGAATTGAGGCTATTTACATTGGTGGTTATAACTGATAAGTATTGGCTTATCTTTGTCATGTTATTTTCTTGCTGTAGGTTCCCTACTTTTCCCTCTGTTTAATTGCTTCCTCTGCTTGGTGGTTCCTTTTTGTTGTTCTTAAAGTTGTGGTTGTTTCTGTCTCTTTCTAGGATATCTGTCAGAACTCTTTATAGGGTTAGACTAGTGATCATGAATTTCTTCAGTTCATGGAAGTATCTTATCTCCAATTGAGCAGGCTGAGGAACAGCAGAGTCAAGTGCAGGACCACATGGAGCTAGTCCCTGGAAGGCTCAGGGTTGAGACCTGACTGCTGGCTTGGAGTTCATGCTCAAAAACACACTGCTACATTTCTTCAAGGGTGCACACACTGCTGCTGAACAGCAACTGGAGTTCTGCTCAGAATGTTACACAGTGGTGGGTCTCTGGGATGCTGGAAGACCCAGAATACAGGAACAATGGAGCAGTCTCAGAGGCTGGGACCCACAACCACATTATACCCCTGTGAGTCACAGTAATTGCACCTAGTCACCAACAGCCAGCCTGGCCAGTCCTTAAAATAATCAAAGAAGGAGGTACTTGGTTTGTAGATGAAAACTGGTTTGAAGAAAAATTAAATGAAATTGTTCTTATGTCATGTCAATAGCCTAAGTCATCTGACCCCAGATCTGCAGGTTCTACTTCTAGGGGCACAGGGGCATGCACCCACATCCTGCTGCACAGGTGCTAAGTAAGTGGGATATCAGGAGTTGAAAGAGCTCTGATCATGCATTTACTATACAGCCAGAGCAAAAAGCAAACATCTATACTGATACGCTTCCTCAGTCTCAAACTCTCCAAGTTCTCTGTTCTCAACCCCCTAAAACACAGCAATCTCCTTCTTCCCGGGAAAGGAAAAGGGATGAACAAGAAACTTCAGCATTCAGAATCTTTCCGTGATCTTAAGAACACAAAACACAGGCATCAGATGTGACATATATTTCTTTACAATGACAAGTACTAGGCAGTTCTGAGTAGGATATCCAGATCTTAGGATCATTTCTCTGTGATCTTTACCACAGATATCTTTCTATGATACATGGTCTACTAACTTTCCCCCCGTCACTGTGGAGAGCCCTTAGTGGACTTTAATAGCTAATGCAGCTCTGATTCATACAACTGTCCCAGGGCTCAGCTCACTCATGCCACTTGACTTTCGATAAGCTGCAGCGTAGAAGTCAATAAGGGTCTGTTAACTTATTCTGCAAAACCCCATCTTTTTGGGGTCAATACAACTTTTTAAGAGATTGAAAGATAAAAAAAAAGGAAACAATGAGCCAGTTGGCATATCAAAAAGTAACTTAAGAATCAACAGATATAAACCCTGAGACAAACTGCCTAATGTCTGTGTCTCAATGAGCTAAACTCTTGATAAAGTAAAAATGTATCTGGACAGCTGTTATTTGACTGGATAAAACAAATTAGCTAGAACAAGCAGAGATCTGAGAGCTCTGTGTTAACAGACAACACGTCAGTAGTTCCTGCGGGAGCGGTGGAGAAGGTGCTGTCAGTCACAGTGCTGTGTTCCAGAGATGAATCAGTACTAAAGGCTAGGTGCTCTAAGGATCACTGACATATTGGCTACAAGAAATAAGAAGGGAAGTATTAATGTAAAGTTCTCCATAGTAATGAGGCCCTGGAAAAGGTAATCTGAAGCCACAATTTAAAATTAATTTTTATTCTCTTGTCAGAACATTTGGACCAATGTACCTACAATATAGTATGTCAATTTTTCCCCCTTTCTATTCCACTCTCAAGAACTGGATAAAGACTACCTAATAATAATGTTTCTTATGAATAGGGTAATACTTTCTAGGAAGTTCCACTGTAGGTAAGTAGCAAAATACAAATTTTTCTAAAATTATCAGGAATAAGGTTGGCCAGATAGCTCAGTGGACTAAGGCGCCTGCTTAGGCAGGTGCAGCAACCAGGGTTCAATCCCCACCATATGCTGTGCCAGACCCACCCCTAAGCCCACTGAGATGGAGACTGAGACTGGGCATAGTGGCACACACTTGTAATCCCAGCACTTGGGAGGCTGAAAAGAGGAGGATCCCTGTGAGTTTGATCTATGAAGTGAGACTCTGTAGATCCTGTACTAAATAAATTAAAAAATAATAATAAATAAATAAAATGGAATTATCAGAAATATTCATAATTATCTTTTAATTAGGGTCATAATGGTTATCACTCTGAACTATGTCATATGATTGTAGGTTTTTTAAGAATTCATTCCATATTCCCTCACTTATTCACATCCTTTATGAAATTCAAATTCATTTTTAGCAACAATCTAAAGGTTTAAAATTTCATTTTTATTTTCAGAGGAAAGATTGATTTCTTCATTGAGTTGGCAGCTCCAGTTCCTGACTTGTTATCATTTCCTAAATTCCAGGTAGAGTCAGCTGTCTGTGGCACCCATGGCATTGACAGTTTGACAGGAAGGGAAGCATCTGGCAATAGGGTCTCGGGCAAGACTGGGATCCACAGACAGGAGCCGCTGCCCTGAGCCACCCGGGTTCACGTCTCAGCTTCCCACAGCTGTGAATCCGGGACATGCGAGTCTCCTACGCTGACTACTTCATCGTCTATCCCCACCCCCAGCAGGGGGCAGGGGTGGTGGATAATTGCCTTGTGACTGCAGAGAACTGTGCTCAGCTTTTTAGTCTCAGGATCTACATCTCTCAACTGACAACAGGACAGATCAGCGCTGCTAGCTACCAGGCAGATATATCCAAGAAAGGAATTAGAGCTAAAACTTGCCTTCAGCTAGCTACTGTCAACAAATCATCTTAGGAAATCTCCTTTTCTTCTGTTTTCTATTTGGTGAAGTGTGTGTAACAGTAATGGCATGTCGCTGCAGGTGGACTCAGGAGGAGTAACCAGGTACACTGCCGTTCTCTAGGAGACTCAGCCCATTGAATTATCAAACTGTAGCACTGTGAAACCCATCTGTTCTGAGTTGTAGCATTTTCCTCTTCAACACTGTTTTCTGGAAGACTGGGCCTAAAGCGACATTCTGTGTTGGTAACATATCTCCATTCACCCCATTTTTATTTTACAGAAGACAAGAAACATTTATAAGATATTTTCACAGTGTTTGTATCCAAGCCAAATATAAAAGGCACAGCTGTCTTTTGCTACTCTGAATGATACCTCGTCTTGCAAGAAGGCACAGCAGGGAGAGAGGCACAGTGGGTTGGCCTGGAGGCCCTCCCATCCCCCCCACACACACACAACCTGGGGCTGGCTGCAGCCCTTGGTACCCACACCAGTCATTTGGCTATACTCCTGTCTGTCATGTGACAACATCCTGTCCTGTAATGGCACCATTGTCACATGAGGATACCCTGTCCATCACCTAAGACCCTGAACATGGTTAAAACAACCCCAACACATGA